CATCTTTGGGTTGGTGGCTTTGTAGTGTTGTCCATCTTTCATTACCCAGAGTGTCCCTGGTGTTGCCCATCTGTAAGAGATTCCTGCTGCTTGGAGAGGTTTGGTTAACAATTGCATATTTTTGTGCCACATTCATGTAGCCCTGCTTGAGTCCTGAAAAAAGGAAAGTTTGCACGTTTCAAATTCATAGGGTGTTTTTCCTTGTAATGCAGCCAGCAGTCCCAGCTTGTAAGACATTGTTTGGCACCGCAATATGAGGTCTCGAGGAGCTGCGTTAGGGGCTTGTGGGGATTTAGACATCCTGTAGACTCTGTCAAATATGAAGGTGTTGACCTGTCTCATTGGCAATACCGCATCCACTAGGCGTCTGTTAAAATGAGGTAGCTTTTCCAGTGGTATCGACTCTTTGACGCCTCTGATCTTGAGGTCCGCCAGATCTGCTTCCCACATCTGCCCAAGGTTGTGTTGTAGGCCTGCCAGCACAGCTTGTATGTCACTTTTTGAGACTGGTGCACAGTCCTGCGTGCCCTGTGGGAGCTCTTGAGGTCGGGGGCTCAATGGGGGGCTGTCATGTGGGTCCCCGTTGTCCGATTGCAATGGTGAGGCCTCTCAGGTGGTCGGGCCCTTGCTGCATTAGGCGTTTGAAGCATTCCATTCCAGATAGTGTTTGTACTGACTCTAAAGGAATTATGCTTTCTTTGATTATGGCCTTAATTTTTTTTTTATTTTTTTTTGAATAGGCTTTACAAATAAAAAAAAATTAAATTAAAGTTTAAAATTAGATTTAATATTTTTTTTGTATATATATATATATATATATATATATATATATATATATATATATATATATATATATATATATATATATATATATATATATATATGAAACAAGAGGGGTTGGCTGCACTCACCTGAACATGCATAAATGGGAGTGCAGGGTAAATAATACAAAACACAGATCAAGCGCACTCACCTATCCACTAAACAGCAACTTCAATGTTGAAAGATTTTATTAGTTTTTTTTTAAAAACACCTAATCTAGGCAAAATAATGGGGGTTTAGTTACATTATATGATCATACATTGCATAAGCCTGCCACAAATCAATGTACCCCATCTTTACAGCAGGTCCTTTTATATTTAAAAGAATTGTAAAAGAATTAAGAAAAATATTAAATTGTGTCCTACGTTTCTCCTTCTCTCAATTACTCTTCTATCACCTCATTCTTAAATATTGCCTAATTTGTCAGCATCTAGTTTCATCAAAATACTTTATCAAATTTTTTTTTTGTTTATACCCTTGTTTCTGTTTTTTTTTGTTTGTGTATTTTTTTGCGGCCGACCCTCTAAAAAGACGTGCTTAACTTTTGTTTTCACTCTTGCCAGAGCTGGTTTGAATCCAGTCAAAATTCTACACCACATAACTGAGGATGATTGGGAATTTTGTATAATACTCTATTGTGTATGTTACAGTAACCATTTCCAAACAGGAATCTGTGTACAATGCATCCCTATGTTTGCTAGCTGTATGTGTACTCTGTCCTTAATGTTTGTTGGTTTTAACGGTGACATCTCCTTGATCACTACTCATTTAAGGTTTGTTGTTTTGTTTTTGTGTCTTTTTAAGGTTTGAAAATGTTTAAGCAAATTTGTATGTTTATTCATTACTTACAGATTAAAAATGACTCAAAAAATAACATAATCTTGCAACAATGAAAAGGGAATTCAACTTAAAGAGAATAACAGAGGGCAGTTCTGCTCAGTGCAAGGTTGGACCTTTGTACATATAATAGAAATAGCAATGATCCCAAGGCACACCAAGGTTTTGCACATAAAAAAAGCGTTTACTCATGCATGAAAAAAGTACATCAAAGTATCTTAACAGGAAGAAAGTGCATAATATAGTGCATAACCAATTTATAGTACCAAAACCACAGTAATAAATTGCTAAATGTAAACACCCATTAAAAAGGTGTACTGACCAAGAGCAGGAGAAATGAAAACCCCAACGTTTCGGCTATGAAGCCTTCCTCTGGGGGACCTCCTGTACATGCCTGTGAGAACTGGCCCTTTGTACATGTCTGTGAGAACTAATCTCACATGTGTTCTATTTTATTCATGTATATTTTTGCATTTTTATGAGTGGTGAACTAATTTAATGAGTGTTCTGGCTATTCAGAAAATATACAAAATTTAAAGTTTTACGTGTTAGGTGTTTTGCAATAATAGATAGAACTCCAGGTAACTATTCTGTTGGCCGTCATTTACTTGGCAGCATTTCTTAAATCTAGTTATGAGTATGAAAACCATGTGTATGTGTATTTGTGTGTAGGGTTGGAGGGAAGGGAATTTATCATGCATGTGTCTGGAAAAGATGGTGACATTTTAAAGAGGTCATGATTTGTGTCTCTATATTGCAGATAACTGAAAGATATAAATTACTAGAATTGATACATAGTTTGTAATTCCAGAATGATCTCCACCACCATCGCATGTACTCTGTGTGTTCATGTCGAACAGATATTACTTTCAAATTTTAACTTAGTATATTTGGAAGGTTCTATAATATGGTATTCTCACAGCAGTGGGTTTGAGGGAAGTTGACAACAGATTTATTAGATATAGACTAAAATAGCCGGAAAATAAAATGTGATTCAGGCAAAAGTTATTTTGTAACTCATCACAACTATGCATTAAAACCAAAATACGCAAACATGACAGGTGAAATTGTACAGCGCTACGGAATTTGCTGGTGCTATAAAAATAATAAAAAATAATAATGAAATGCATGCTTTTCATTAGTTACACAAATGACCCCCTAAGGTGACACTTTGTCTCCTGATTGATTGCTGTATAGAAGACTTGATGTAACTGGTCTTTGTGAATACAGGAAGCCTCTCTAATAGCTTAGGTGCTGTTTATGCTCTGTATATTCTGAGAACATGTTGAGCTGTTGGTGTGTACGGTGTCCAGACCAGTAGATTCAGCTGAGATTTTTTTCCATAAATGAAATTTAGTTCAGGGCCCTGACACTTGTTCAGTTGACTGGTGTGCTCGTAAGAATATTGTCCATGTAAAATATTTGGGAAAACTATTCAGATGAACCAAAATGGACACATTTTGTCTCAGGTTCACCAAATTGGTAAAAAAAAAAAGTAACCTACAAAGGGGGGCACAGGAGCAGTAAAAATCTCTCTCTCTTTTTTTTTTCTTTTTCTCTCTCTTTTTTCTCTCTCTCTTTCTCTCTCTCTCGTGTCCAGTGAATGGTATTATATTTGCTGCAGTTCTGCCATATTTCTATTTAAAAAAATAAATAAATAACAATGTTTATTCGAGGCTTGAAATTCCAAATTCTGAAAATCGTCTTTAGAACCCTGATAAAGTGAATGAACTTGCATTGAATCCTATGCCTGGGATTGGATTATTTACCCTCGTACTAGCTTAAAGGGAGAATTACAGTAAATCTTGTATCTGCTGTGATAAAAGCAGACGTTGTGTGGGCTGTGTAATGCAAATGCTATTCATAAGCGAAATAACTCCGTCCTTCTCATAATATAGAATGGAAATTGTTCGGGCTCACGCCTTTGGATGCTGCAGAGTGCTGATCATTTATATCTTACACATGCATTGTTCGGCACAGAATATATTCTCACTTGAGCAGACTTCATTTTGTGGTTTTAATCAGGTTACATTTATTCATGTCTCCAACAAGCTGTTTCGAACCACAGAAGGGTTATGTTCAAAACTCATCTGTAGTCAATGGTTTACCATGTTACGGCATCCTGTGCTGCCTGTCCTGAGATAATCAATCTCCAGATTTTATGTAGTTCTTGACTGAAAAAAAATTCTGTGATTATACAGTTACATGGTCATCCAGTAACCCATACTAATCAATCCAGGACTATTTTAAATTGATGAAAAAGAGGGAAGATTGTTTAGTTAATGTTGCAATTTTGCTGTAAAATCTGTGACCAGTAAACGGTTAAAAAAAAATATATAAATATATATATATTTTTTTCAAACCTGTTTTGTGTTGTTATTTTTTACATTTATGTGTCATGATCTTCCTGTTTCAGTACTTCTGTGCTGTCGCCCCATGACGGAACAGCACTGCAATCTCAATGTGTGCCTGTAGGTATAGCCAATGTAGTTAAGATAACTGAGTTTCGGGTAGAAGGCGTGTGACCAAGACTAACAATTGGGATCAACAGCCATCAATTTATGGGAGAGTGTACATTTTTATTATTTTAACAAAGTAAGAGTTTGTGTGAGGTTACTGCGTGAATTTGCTCGCTTGTGTGTGATATGTGAGCAGGCTGTTGTGTCCAGCTTCGCCACTCATTGCAATGTTCGTTAAAACGAACCCAATAAAAACGCACTTTGTGCAATGGTGGCTATGAATCTAGTTTCCAGATGGTCCAGTTGAATTTGTTCTCATGGGCCTACTCCCTGGTGGTCCAGTTGGGTCGCTTTCCTGATCCTTGGTGGTCCGGTGGGTGGAGCTTGTACAGGTGCAGCTTTGTACAAGTGCTGTAAAAAGCGCTAAGAGTAAAAAATACAGGAGAAAGGAGAAACCTCAAAATGCCAGAGAAAACTCGACTAAATTTTGCCCAGATTAAATAAATTTAATTTTATATATATATATAGAGAGAGAGAGAGAGAGAGAGAGAGAGAGTGCAATACAGTCAGATACAAATAATCAAATAGAAATAATATAATAAACTCCAAATGTTGGATAGAGATGGCAGTATCTACACCAAATAAATATAAATAGGACAATTGCAAGAAAACTTACAGGAAAGATAGGTTGAAGAGGACCCTGCTCAAACGAGCTTACAGTTACACATCTTAATGTATTATTTAGTTTGTATTATTTAGTTATTTAGACCAGTGAAGGAAGCCATGATGTAGCTTAACTTAATAGAAGGTTTAGACGTGAAGTAATGGATTAGTACTGATAGTGTGTGGCTGACCTTGGATACGTAAAAAACGGAGTGACAGCATAGAAGGTATAAATAAGATGCTTGATTTGTAGGTTTAGAGGAAGAGGCAAAAAGTACAATAGTTTAACTGCAAGAGTCATGAATCAAGCAAACTCTACTTGTGACATGGTACAATATACAAAGCCCTAGCGTGAGTGATAGAGTAATCGTGAAACTGCGTGAAGCGTGTAAAACTGCACAAGGTGTAATTGTGTGCTTAGTCCAAAATTAGCTCATGGAAAGGTGGTATCCTGGATGGTACGTAGTGGTTCGTAGGGGGTGCCTAAAAAAAGACCTTGAGCTGAGCCTGAAAGAGCGTCAGGGGCTGTGTTGTGGATGCCGGGAATGTAAAGACAGACTAAAAAGAGCTGAGAGGTTGCTGCCAGCCAAGTCAGCCTGTAAATCAGCCACAAAATGGTTTGTGAGGATGGCCGCCCGAACATAGGCCAGGTGCCATAGTGAAGGGTGAAGTAGTAGTAGTAGTAGATTAAAGGTGTTGGATAAGTCCGTCTTGCTCAACCAAGCCTTACTACTTGCTGAAGTGATAGCTTGTATGGCATGGTCAATTTTAGTAGTGCAGTGAGAACTTCATAGCGGGAATGAGGGAGTTGATGCTGGGAATGGATGTAGAGTGCGGTGCGTAAGAGGTCTATGATCAGACGTATTATAGGGTATTGTGAATGGCTACCTCGATGGGAATGGTACGCCAAGATGAGAAGTGTGAAGACCGGAAGGAGGCGATCGTGAAACCAGCGTATGAATGCTGGGACAGAAGGTGGTCCACCGTAAGAGTGTACCTGTGGGAATGGCGATAAGGCCTGTGAGAAACCCGGCACCAGAATCTATCAGATGCCTAGCTGGATGTAAATGCAGATAGTAACCCAGGATATCAATGTTAACCTTAGTTGGGCGTATCTTAGGTGACAGACGGTCTGCGTATGTGGATTAGGTGTGGGTTCTGGAGCAGATGTGCAAAACCTTGCATGTTGTGAAATAGCATACCCCGTATCAAAGAATAGTGCACCCGAGCCTTCCCCAGAAATGAAATGGTCAACCCGGCTAGTGCCTCTGGCCACCTCCCTGACTAGTGAGTGGGGTGAAGGAGTGGTGAGAAGTGGAAGTGGCTGATTCTATGCGAGAAGCAATGATAAACAGAGGAATGGAAAGCTTGTTAAGTCGTGGTCTGACTATCTAGGACTACTGAAATGTCACCATGAATGTAACAGTACTGAAGGGTGTCTTGTGAAGTTAAGTAGGGATGTTAGTTTAACGTCCTTTCCATCGAGAATTACCTTCTCCATGGAAATTGGAACAGACTGGGCCGGTGAGACGGATGGAGTAGTGATAGTGGGTGGTAGGGGACGGGAATAGAAATGAGGGGTAAGCTAAACTGTATGACCGAGATCGCCAGGTGAGGGCCTGCCGGGCTTAAAGAGACACCTGGTGTGGCTATAGTTGATTCCATTTATCAGCCTATTAATCATTTGGAGGCTGGCCAGGATAGCGACTGGGGTCTCCTGATTGGAATCTGAGAAGAAAGCTGATGGCCCTTGTGAACTAGAGCCGGGCCTGGGAACGTTGGTCTGAGCCATCGTGAGCCTGTGTAGTTCTGCCTTACTTGCAGTGGCTGGGGAGGGGATACCCCTGTGTCTGAGCGCTACTGATATTTTTGGAATGTACCAGAATCCCAGGTAACTGAGGGTAGAAGGGTTGAGGGATTCCTTTGGCGACCCAGGCCAGACTGGCGTGCTGGGTATTTCGGGGGTGTAGACCTCGCGGGACCGTAGTATTACTTAGGATAGCTAAGGCCAGCGCCTAACCCTCAATGCCAGTTCTCTAGCCTGATGGGGCTTGTCTCTTAAAAATGGTGTGATATAATGTATGTAGTTACTTAAACCTTGAGTGTTTGTCCTCTTTCTTTGATGCGCAGGAAGATTACCATATATTCTTGCTTCTGCAGGGGATGGGCCCGGTCTGGGAAACCTTAGGGAAAAAGATGCTAGTGGGCCTGAGGCGTGCCACTGGTATAATGAGTGTAACAATGTTGAACGTATGGGTAGGTGTGTATAAGAGATACCATAACGTAAGAACTTGGGTAAGTTGAGGGACCTGAACGTTGGTCCATCAATTAGAGACAAGCCCCTGGAGTCCCACAATGTGAATTTTTTGAATGATACGAAGGTGAAGTGAGGCCTTAAGGAGAAACGTAATCGTAGTGAGTAAGATTACCAATACCTGATACTGCAAAGCAGGGAACCAAGTAGCCTGTTGGTTGTTGATGGCGTAGGACTTGGCGAAGTAACGATATGTAGAAATGAATGACAAAACATGTACCGTTAAATATAGTAGGAATACGGTGGATTATGATTAAGAGATTGTTGTTGACGTTTGTGAGGAATCTTAGACCAGGTACGTCTCGAAGTTTAGAACCCACCTTGAGAGGTGGGGGGCTGTATAAGGCCGTGGAGGCTGAATGAGGCCTCAAGGAAAAACTTAAAAATGGTAAACCTTCTTACCTGTTACCGAAAAGCGGGATACTGGGTATCTCTTATTGGAGCTTTGTTTAAAGAAAAGTATTAGTAGCAAGGTGGTGTAGGTTTGTGTGATTGATGTTTACTCGCCGTGAGGAATCTCAGATCTGGCCCATTTGAAGTTTAGAACCCCCTTTGGGAGGTTGGGGGCTGTATGAGGCCGTGGAGGCTGAATGAGGCCTCAAGGGAGAACGTAAAATGGTAAACCTTCTTACCTGTTACAGAAATGCGGGATACTGGGTACCTCTTCTTGGAGCTTTGTTGTAAGAAAAATATAAGTAGTAAAACCAAAAAAACATATGCAGTCTAAGTGTAAGGAACCAGTGTATAAGGACTTTTAAGGAACGGAGGTTTTAAATCGTGCTAAGGGTCGGTAAAGAGTCTGGAGAAAAAGGACCGTAAGGCTTAACCTATGAGCGGAGAGACCTTAGTTGCGTAGAAGACTAATACATAAGGGAAAGTACAATAACCTAACTCCCGGCAGGGTATGATAATGCCTGTAGGTCTATTTTTTTTAAACATAACTGATAAGAGAAAGTGGTCAAACTGTGCTTTAAGAAGATTTACCCTGTAAAAGAAAGGAGTCCCATAATTATGTGACCATAGGCGGGAAAATTAGAAACACATATTATTTAACCAGTGGTGACTTTAAGAGCCATGTAATAAATACACATAAATCCAAATAGGATAAATATTGCGAGTGCTTAGTTACGTGAAAGCAAACTATGTACAATTACAGTAGATTTGTGAATTTAAAAATTGTAGCCTCTTGCTTTCGGTAAACGAATGAACAGGAGAACTGTAATGAGAAAGAACTCATGTGTTCGGTTAAACTGAGCATTCAAACAAATTTTAAACGAAAGCCAATGTATATGTGTGCGGCTGGACGACCGAACGAACATGCGGATGAAATAGTCGAAGGTAAGTTTGTTTAGTGCGGTTGGTAGTTAGTTTATACGAAAATGTAAATGTACCCTGTGGTCTGCTGTTAGCCGCACGAACGCAGAAGTACACGAACGGAGTAAGATCACGAATGGGTAAGTAATGAAAGGAGCCTATCCCTGCGTTTTTAGGCCCGAACGTGGGAAATAGCCGAACGCCATTTCCCACATTTATGCTTATGTGGACGTGCCGGTCTCGTGATGATACTTAAGAATGTGGGCTGTGTATGGGGGCTGCTTGTGGAATTGTGTGTGTGTGTGGATGGATATGTCACATTGTGTGTATGTGTGGGGGCTGTTTGGGGTATTTCATGTGAGAGACTGCATGTGGGGATGTATGCATGTATGTGGATTGTTAGTAGGTTAAGTTTCTGCGGATTGTGTGTATGTTTGTGGGCTGTTCGTATTATTTGTATGAGGGGAGGGTTATTGTGCATTTCTGTGTATATCTAGTAGTGTTGGTGGCTTCCCTGGGTTCCAGTGGGTACCAGGCTGGCCAGGTACAGGGCAAGGACAGGAGTTGCAACAGCAGCTGCAGGCTGATCTACTACAGTGTGGATTCCCATTCACAAGTGCTGCAATGCATAAATTTAGGATTGTCCTTTACCACCTTTTTGTATTAGCAGGTATCTGAAGTTTCACTGGGACTCCTGATAGGCCAGAGCCTGTTTGGCTCTAGCAGCCTTGAGTGCCGTGCAAAGAGACCTTGAGTGCCGTGCATGGCACTAGTGCCGTAGGTTGCCTACCCCTGCTCTAGACAGTAGCCTTCTCCTGTCTCTTATATACACAAGCACTTTTCTTACTATATGCACTTTAAAACTGGAGAACACATTCTTATTCTATATCCATTTCTCACTGTGGTTTGACCGCACTGTTTACAATATCGCAGAGGTTCGGCATCTATGGTTGCTAAGCAGCCTCACATACAGCTTGAGTTAATCGGCACGCATCACGTGCATGTAAGGGGGCGGAGCGTATTTACGTATGCGCGCGCATACCCGGAAGTGCACCGGATCACGACCGTCACGCGCATACTGCACCTGGGTGGGTTTACTCAATTACATTCATGCTATATATTGCCATGTATATGATGTTATTTTGTGTTGTCTTTTTACCCTGAGGAAAGTCCCGAGAGGGGACTGAAACGTTGGTCTCTTATTTTAACTTGAACATAATAAAGTATTGGAGTTTTTAAAGATCGGTGAGCAGCTATTCTTTGGCACATTATATATAAATATATATATATATAAACTTTCTTGAAAAACATAAAATATAAAACACATAAAATACATATTGCGTCTGTGGAGGTAGAAGGCACTGCCAGACAGGGCAAAACCACTACAATGAAAAACAGCACCAGGATAGTCTCCACGCTGCAGCCTAATCCTCCTCTTTGAAGTCCTAAATCTTGATCAATCCAAAGCTTTCCGCTGAGGACGCAATGCTAATGTGAGGCAATTGCTGCAATCTACCGTGCTTCTGAGTGTGCTTCCAGAGTGTGCGTATGTGTAACAATGTGTGTGTGTAAATGTATGTGAAAATGTTTGTGTAGTAATGTGTGTCTGAATGTAACCGTCTGCATGTGTATCAATGTGTGTTCATCAGTGTACCAGCGTTTACATTTGTAACATCATTTGTGTAAGTGTAACTGTTTGTGTATGAGTGTGCATCACGAAGTACAAGTTGGTACTTTAATAAATATATATATATTATAGTTTGGGTATTGAGTGGAGCTTGTTCCTTTTGGCATCTAGCAAAGCATCTGCT